AAGTTATTCACTGTGACCAGCAGCATGGCCGGATCGAGCTACCGTTATGTGATCATTTGCTACTAAGCAGTGCATTCGTGTTTTTATTTGAAACTTCTGTTAGAATATACTTTTCGTTACCAAGAAAATTAAAAAAATAAATGCATATTACATTAAAAATACTGAGTATTTTTTGTATCATGTGGAATTTTTTTTTGATTGACTGTAATTTTTCAACATTTCGTAACGCCTATTTTAGAACCAAAATAAGGCCTTTCACTCTTCTCCGACGCCTATTCAAGAGATTGTACGGTGTATTGTTTGTTTTGTGCATGTGTTGTGGACAAAAAATGACCACGCCCATTTAGTGATTGCAATATGTACGTAATAGAAACCGCACCCCGAACTTGACCTTTTGATCCCAATTTTTAAATTGAAACATTGTAATATAAACCGCGGTTTATAATAGGACTTTAACGGTACATGTAATTGATTCAACAGCCTGCATAAATTTCAAGATCTTTTAAGAGAACAGAAAAAACAAACAAACTTGATGACACCTAGAAGTGTGAAGGTGGGTAAAACTAATAACTATTTAAAATTTGCCACATTAATAAACATACCGAAATCACTTGCATGTGCTTGAGAAAGATCTCTGTAAAATTCAGTTCTGTGTGCTTTCTTTAAACCGGTACATAATCCAAAATCAGATAGTTTGATATGACCCTGTGAAAAAATAAGTGTAGTGACAACATATTATTACGGTTATGGATTCAAACTCAACAGCAAACTGCATTCAAAAACATAATTATACAGTTGTGTTGTGATTTAAAAACAAGCAGCCTCTTGGCTGAGAAAGCTCTGCTGTTAGCAATGCACATTTCAATTAAAGAACTAAAGATATTATTAGAAAACGAGAGAGGTCAACCTGAGGTATATTGTACCTATATGTATAGTATCAAAGCAATCGTTTTCAACAAGAAGTCGAAAATATCACTTTTTACCAAAAATATTTATAAAAATTTGAGATTTGAAGATATCATCATGAAATGAACAAATCTGAGAGAGGTCTATCTACATGTATAACATCAAAGCAATCAGACTTCCAAAATATCACTTTTTACCAATAACAACAATAAAATTCATCAAAATTAGAGAATTAAAGTTATCATCACAGTATCAAAGCAATAAGAATTGTAGTTTTCAAGAAGAAGTCGAATAAGTTGACTCGAACAATCACTCATATGATAAGCTCCGCTCGACAAAGTCAACAGCGGAGCTAAAAAAAAACAAGTTTTGCATTCACCTTTACATGTTTTGTGAGGTTTATAATTTCGGCCATTTATACCAACTTTCTGTGGGTTTTTCTATGGTACATGTAGTGTGTTTTAGTTTGTAGCTCACAAAATATTTTGATTAAATGAAACAAGACAAAATTTATTTGAACAGATTGTATTTTGACATCGATAATACACTTCCACATTACTAAAGTGCCTTCGGCAATACCTAGAGATTTGCATCAGTACAGCATTCTGATTGGATATTAACAGACTTGACTTGAGGTCAAAGGACTGTTGCAAGTCAAGTCAAGTCACGATGAATGAGTTGAACATGATGAACTAAAATTGTCATTTGCATAGTTTTTTAGGGGGGGGGGGGGTAACTAAGCACCCACACCTAAAAAACATAGTTGAACTCTGGTGACCTTGCCCGTTGTTATATAATATAATTCCCTTTATCATAGTTTGTTTCAATATAAATATGCATTGTCATAATTAATTTTGAATACAAACAAGTTTTGGGATTGAACCAACAGTGGGGAATCAGTCTACCGAATGTCCTTTAAAGATGTAAATATCTTACAAAAACATTGGAGCCTTATTTGTTTAATTATTTTAAGAGACATAATTTCCAGCTTTATTCAAAGTAATTCAGATATTTTAGTATAAAAACAAATGCCTCATCGCAAAAAAAAGTGCTGCATTTAGACGTGAATAGATTCATAAAACATGCAAGATAACAGAAAATCTTAGCTGGCTTTTATCCAAGTATTTTGTACAGGTGTCTGTAAAAAATTTATGATTCACTGAGACAAATATGAACTGCCTCAATGTGTGACTACTGTATTATATGAAAAGTAAAAAAAAAAAACACCCTTTATGAATAGCTAT